GTTTGCTTTGTTCCTCAAATGAAGCTGAAGTGTCTATCAATTTATGCTTCATTTCTTCCTTGAATTTATCCATCTTGTTGTCCAAATGAACCATCACTAAACTAGTAAGGAATTATGCTCGTGAACACAAATAGCCACAACTCAACTTACACTCTTTGAACAAAGTAACCTCAGTGTCCCTGTAAAGCGACTTCGCTCTCATGTAGTCGTTCAGAATCGTCAAATATTCGCCCTGTGAAGGATAATACCTTCAATAAGCAGAGCTCAAGAGTCCAAAGCACTATTTTTATACCTTCTTCATGTTGTCATCGATCGTTTTAGAAAGGAAGAATATGAATTTGAAACGAGTCAAGACAGATAGCGCGTTTCTTGTAGCATCTGCTCGATCTTTTCGTGAAAGAACGTCTTTGAAGACGCTCTCTGCTTTCACTCTAGCCTCGGCAATCTGTAACGAGGAGGCATCAGCGAGAAGAAAACTTGATTGCAGCAAATCGTCCAGGGTACAATTATGGATCCTATGAAGTTGATGATATAGCAAACAGAAGAAAATAAAACAAGAAGCACATATGACCAGACTGCATTACCTGGCTTCCTATCTGCTTGATGACCGCAAATTCTCCTGCTTTGTTACTCCTCTCCAACTCATCATGCAATGCAGCTAATGAGTCGACGCAGTTGATCAAGGAGTATAGATTAGCCTGGAAAATGGATGTATAGGAAAAGGGATGTAAGAGATGTTTTCAAGCCAGTTGTTCCAAAGAATATTGCAGAGCTAACCTTATGCATCTGCTCATTCTTCTTGGCTTCATCAGCCTTGGCTACTTTCATATTCTCAATGGCTTCGCGTAACTCTTCTATCCTGAAAATAGACACTGATAACCATGTTGTATAGGATGAACCAACATGAACATAGCGCAAGCTATTCGTAATGTGACGGATAGCCAGGGCTAGGAATAATTGAGAGAGGATATACAAGAAACTCACGGTGTTTCGGAGTGATGTTCCAGCAGATACCACTGTGGATTGAAGCTTTCCATGCGGATGTTCCCCGATCCATCAGGAAACATTTTCGACAGAAACGCGGGATCCAACTTCTTTGTGGTTGGCTTCAAGCCAAGAGCATCGCGTTCCTCTGTAGTTTGCGCTACAGTTCGAACAGCCTAGAAGTATATAATAATCCGTATATAATCCGTTATGATAATCCTATACCCACTCGAGACATCAAAACAGATATGAGAATTCAACAAAAACTTCTTTACTTACTTCCCGCCCAGGCACGGTTTGTGTCTCATCGACCCATACAGCGGACTCTTCTAACGGTCCTACTTGAGCAATAAACACCCTGAAACCTTATATTTGAACTATAAATATAATACAAGGGGATTCGCGACATATCGAGATCACTTACCTGAATTTCACATTGCAAATTCCCCTTCCACCAGATTTTGTAGCAATCTTGACCTCGCCCAATCCTCGATTAGCTTGGCCCAAACGAGCTACGATCTTCTTTTCTGTCTTCCACCTGAGCAGCTCCAGAATATAAACGATTCATCATGGTAAAAAAGGAAGTTGACGCCTACTTTGCAGTCTGCAGACAGTCGGTACCACAAATGAAGAGCATGAGAAGATCATTTTGATCTGTGCCTAAGTTTTCACCACGAATGGTGATTTGAGTGCCAGGTGTGCCTGAAAAACGCTATGAAAAATCAACTGACGCTCAGTTCTGGTCAAAAGTTGATGAAATCTATAGCATTGTGACCATGAGAAAATAACTAAAAG